AAATAATGATATTTTACTAGATAAAGAAAATCAAACTTTTTTAAACAACTTAGTTGACACTGATTCAACCAAAAATAGTGATGTTTTCGGTGATATTAAATTTTCCGAAACTAACACTTGGAGTAATATTGATCTTAATGCTGTTTCAGAATTTGTTTCAATAGAATCAACTTTTTCTCCCGGAACATCTGCTACTGCGCATGTTGAAGTTGATCGACTGCTTTCGTTGTTTGAAAAAAACAAACCTGAAATCGATCTCATATTAGATTTAAAAGATGTATGCGCAATTGGTATTGATTTTCAAAAAGGCTATTCTATACCATGCATCATTTGCTGGGTCTTCAAGCACCTAGACATTAATATCAAAGAACAACTATCGAACTTGTTCGCGAATGAGTTTGCAATTGTAGAAGAAATAGTGGCTCCCACAGATGCGGATGTGAGTAGCAGCAATAATGCTCAAAACAGCTCATTTAACAATAACGATACACTTCCTTCTGGAAACGAGAAGGAATCTGAGGAGGATGAAAATGACAGTAACTATAATGAAAAAGACAGTGGTGAAGATAACGAAAACGATAGTGGAAATGATGGGGAAAAAAATAATGAGAATAATAGCGATGGTGATGGCGATGAAGGAGGTGGAAATGGGGACATAAATAATGATTCTAAATCTATTACTGTTGCATCATTCTGCCGAGCTGTTGGTGGAAAAAAAAAATTTCAACAATTTGATATCGTAGTTGATATCTGCGTGAAAGCTACTTCTGTTAATGATAAGCCATATAAGATTTTTGATTTTTTTGTTAATGTAAAGCAATGCGGAATTGGGCGTCTTCTTAGTGAAAATTTGCACCTTCATGGATCTGGTTATTATTTCGATTCCGTTTCGATTGAAGTTTTACCAGTTTCACGTGAAAATCAGAGTAATCCTAGGATGATACTAGAGAAGGTTGATATAAAACCAATACAACGCAACCAAGCTATTAAAGAATTAAAAATTAGTGAGAAGAACTTAGGAGTTAAGGGACAAGTCAGTGGAGCGGGATTCCAAGTTGGAGGTAGTTATAATATAAAGAATACGCAAGTTAATGAAAAAAACGGAAAATGGGTGGAAGATGATGGTCGACGGATGTAATACAACCGGAGATCGTTGGTTTTATTCTCTTGATGACAGTGAAACACGCCGGTTTGACCCAGGTACTCACTGTGGAAAATGGCACACTTTAAATGAGATGAATGGGTTTGTTATACGAATTACACAGGTAGTAAAGTTCAAGTGTGTTTATCCGAAGACATTTATGAAACAATGCCCCAAGATGGCTCATGTATTGGAAATATCCTTTGATAATTTTGATAATTTGGAAAAATATGTTGCAAAACTTAAAGAGGAACACTATGAACAAGTATATTTGACTCAAGATATAAAAAATAGAAACTTTCATAAGGAAGATAAATATAAACCAGAAGGTGAAAATGGTTTTGCAGTGACCCGAAGTTTTTTTGAAATAAATGAATAGGTTTAGTTCTTATATCTACTGTACAACAATAAATAGAAACGACCAGTGACTTTTATCTTTGATTTAATGCGGTTTTGTATGTGCCACATAATATTTAGCTTTTCTTGTGTTATTACCTTTCGATCACAAATTTTTTAAAACTTAAAAGATTACTATTATATTAGTTTGAATTTAATCAAAATTGAATTCGCGAGTTTTTTTTTTAAAATCAAAAAAAGCTCATACTAATGAATAGCTGATTATTAGTGAAGCTTTATTTTTATTAAATTCCTAAATAATAACTACATTCTACTGAATATTTAGCTTATATCATAGAACGATACCACCTGCATATATTATTAAACAACACCATTTATATATTAAATTACAATTAAATCTTCATTAAATATCTTGTGTGTTTTCTTCTGCGAACTGGTTTTAATACCTATATAGTTACAACAAATTAAAACATGAATGTTACTACATATAAATAAACTTAAAAACTCCAAAATATGAACACAAAAGTTTATAAACTTTTTATATGAAGTAAGACGAAACCAACTTGATTCTGTGTTTTACATTACTCCCTCTCCCCTCCGGAGGAAACTACCCCAACAACACCATAAAAAATTTTCGGTGACACAACATTTTGTACTACATACCGACCAATAGTAATTCATTGTTTATCATTAGTATTAAAAATATCTATGCTAAATTTTTGCTTCTCAAGAAAACAAATACAATATATACAATCGTATTTATTTCACTGATTTTTAACATACCGATACAAAGATTATTTAAGCAAACTTCACATGTATACAACAAGTCTTTGAAACTTTGCATAACTTTATAAGTTGATCTACGATGAAGAAATTTTTGCATACATTGGGCATTTATAACTAAAGAGTAAACATTGTTACCTGATCTTTTTCAAACATTTCAGTAATGAATTGTTTTCTGATCTGTTTAAACTACTTAAGGCACCTTTTTTGAAAGAACCGATAGTGTGCACCTAATCCTGATTTCGCAGTTCACATAATTCTTAAATATGATCTAACATGGCAATTGGTCAATAAAAGCGAAGAAAGATGTAGTAGAAAATGAAATTTAAAGGCTAATACTCATTTATTTGTTTTGAATTGGTGCCTTGTGTGTTAAAAGGACCATATGTTCCTTCAATAAATCAATTAAATATCTTATTTATTAATTGCTGCCGTGATTTTGAGAAGCATTTAGAATGCGTTTACTAAAATTGAAGTACATTTAAATTATAACTATAAACTAATTATAACAAAGAATTATCTTATTATACTGGGCAACACTATTGCAAAAATTTGAATGTTTGAATTATTAGCAATTTCATTATTGAGGCGGTTTTGATTCTATGCTAGTAGTTAGGATGCACGCATATGAAAACAAAGCATTTTTTTCTTACATGAAAATAATGCTAATGATAAAAAACAATTATAAAAGAATAAACTGTTTTTAAAAAAGCGATTTGACATTTTTTGCATTATGAATTTAGCGTATCTTTAATATCAAATTAAATCTTTGTTTCAAAGTTTGTTTTTGAAGTTCATTCAAGGAAACCATAGCTTCTAATTGTTATTTAAATTTTATAGTTAATATATAATATTTTGCTAAATATGCTGTATCAATTGCATGTATTTGTAATATATTACCTTTGATATAAGAGGTTATAGCTGTCTTACTTTTTCCTTTGAATTGTAAAAATAATATAAAAATAATATTCGCAATTTCATAATTGTTATAAATTAATACTTAATCAATCTAATAAATAATTAAATACTTACTACACTTTATGAATTTAAAAACATCGTATGTTCATTATGATCTTTCCAAGTACGTGGGTTGGTTATTCTTCTTTTATATGATTGAATGTCTGTTACCAAATTTCGTATGCCTTTAAAACTTCCTTGAACAGATTGAGCCCATTGAATGTTATTAGCATTTTCTTGTTCTTGTACAATTTCGATTGCATCAAGAAGTATTGATTTATATTCTTCAAATAAATGCATTGATTCATTATCATCAATTGAACCAGTAATATTTATCGCATCATCTATTTTTAAATTAAAATATATAGTAATAAATTAAAATCATGAAAGTGAAGTTCGTATGTATAAAAAACAAGTTTTAACTTGAAAAATCATAATCTTACCTGCATTAGAATGAATTAATTGTGTAGCCGAAAATTGTGCTTGTTGAATATATAATGATAAATTAAAATCATGATGATCAAATGCATGAAAACAAGTTTGAACTTGGAAGATCATGATTTCTACCTGTATTAGAATACGATAACTGCGTAGTCGAAGATTGTGCTTGTTGAATAAATTTAGATTTTGGCGGTAAAAATAGAAAAGGATAAACTTCTTGCCGCTGAACATTTTTAAAAAAGGATATGTTGGTAATAAATTGAGATGCTTGAATTAAATGTTTACACAAAAAAAATCAATTAAGTAAAAATCTGGAACATCCACCAATCCATCTTTCAACATCAGTTACATAATTGTGATTAATTTTTCTTTTTTTTAGCATAATCTATTCTTTTTTAAATTCTTTGCGCCAAGAAGGCATTTCACGTTTAGAATAATATTTATTGTATTGTTGTGTATAGTGTAGAATTAAACGAGTAACAATAATATATGTTAATAAGTCAAGGTGTGGTCTAAAGAATTTTGGTAAAAAATCTCTCTTTAAAACCTTCCAGTGAGATTCACATAACATAGTAGTACAAAAGATGCAAATTCAATTGCATGCAAAATGGGCCCACATATTTCAGATTTCTTTACGATACCAACATTTCTATAAATAAGTCCAAAGAAGCTTTAAATCATGATTAACACAAAAGTCATAAATTTGCTTTGTTGATTGTTTCCAAATTTCGTTTGCTGACAGATAAAGACCACTAGCATTCAGAATTAAAGTATGAAAATGCATATGACTTTTCATCATTTTAATAATCTTAAAGCATAACTCTTTGGGACAAAAACAAAAAATTTTTTTTTGTGCCTAAGTTAGTTGTAATGGTGGTGTCGAGTAAAATTCAATATTGATGAACTTGAATATTTGATAAACTGAATGTGAACTATAATGAATAGTTTTAGGATATACATTATCAGCAAGACATCTTTTAAGTGCTTTCTTTATGTGCCAATAACAAATTTGAATTTTGATATTTAGCCAAGTTTTTAGTGCAGCTGATATCTGTTCAAAATCTTTATCCATTAAAAAAAAGCCAACATTATTTAATCCCAAATTAAATAAAGATTTGAAAAATAAACTTAAAATATCTGTTTGTGCACTATCATTTTTTTTAGATCTCTCAATAAACAAATATGCAAGTGTAAATCCTGATCTATTATAATGATCAATGACTGAATATAACTCATATCCTAAAGCATTTATTTTATATATGGCATCTGTAACTATTTTCTTATTATTTTTTTAATAATTCAAAAAATGGCATTATAAAGCCTAAATATCAAATATTTTGATTATTGCTTAAAATAACCTTGCATTTGTTCTCTTCTACTAGTATTTTTGAGGAATTTAATTGATTATCGTCACGAATGTATTTATTTTTCAAATAATAAGTCCACCAAGCATGAACTTTTTTCTGAGTTAAATTTGGATATTACTGCTCCAGTTGTCTAAAATATCTGTGGGCATTCTATGAACATTTTTTTTATTATATCCTTAATATTATCAGATGTATTAAATCTATCTGGATGCTTATGAAGTAAACTATGCTAAAGATCAATTGTTGCTACATTTATTTTTATATCTAGTAATATTTTTAGAACACCATTACAATTAAATCATTTAATATATTCTCTATTACACTGCTTATCAAGATCTTTATATTTTTAGGAACGTTTGGCTAAAGTACAACTTTGGGAGCAATTATACCAAAATGTATACTAATGAGAATTTTTTTCTGATTTATAAACCATATGATAACTAAATATAATTATTAGTAAATACATAACTCATTTTATTAATTTCAAATATATATTATGATTATAATACTTATATGTAATAATATCTATCGGCAGATTCTACTATTTTGGCGATTGTCTTTCCAAGTTCATGTGGCTCACTTTTTAAAAAAATAGTAGATATTTTGCACAAAAACTCTATGCCGGAATTTTCATTTTCAACAAATTTATTATTTTCAACTTCAAGAATAGATTTAAATAATTTTTTTTTTATTTCGTTGAGTTTAATAGATCTGAATTATAAGGTATATTATCATTAAGCTTTGTGGCATGATAAGTTTTTAAATTTTTTTGCCAACATTTATTACATGTCTTTGTAGGTTTTCCTGTTTACTAACAAAAGCAGCTTTATTGAAACATTTATTACACTAATTATATTTGAACAAGCTGTTATTAAATATTGAAATCATTTTGTAAGAAAAAATTTTTTTTATTCTAACGATATTTTTATTTAAATACTAGTGATAAGTAAAGTGATCTAAATATAACACTAAGTTAAATATTTCAGTATATAATAATTAATATTTTTATTATATATAAATATATACTAATGATAAGTAAAGTGATCTAAACATAACACTAAAATGTTTCAGTATATAATTTTTAATAGTATATAAGTAGTAAAATATATAAAATACTATTGGTTAAAATATAGTATAAAATTATAATTGTGTATATAAAATACTATTGGTCAGTATATAGTACAAAATGTTGTATCACCAAAAATTTTTTATGGTGTTTTTGGGGTAGTTTCTGGAGGAGGGGGTTTGTAATTTAAATTCGAAATAAGAATATCCTAAGTATGCTCCGAGTTTGTAGATTGTTATACAAATGATTTGTTAATTCAGAATTTTTTTTTATATATTTTATAGTACTTTTTTTGAGGATCGTCTAAAGTGGTGACTTTACTTGCAGCACCCACAAAATTTTTCTGGCACGTGATTTTTTGCCAATCAAATTTCAGGATCAAATATAATGTTACATAATCATGAAAATTCAAAACAATTATTTGCTTTGTTAAAAAAAGTTAAAAATCACATATTTTTTGAAAATAAGCATAAGAAATTACCTTTTGTGTCTTAATAAAAATTTTCCTCAAGGCATTTTACTATAAATTTGTTTAATATCTAACTCTAAAGTAAACACTAACCTAACATAAATGAACTTTAAAAATTTAATTATTAGTAATATAATAAACTTTAAAAATCATGTATTCTGAAAAATTTTGTGGGTGCAGCAGAGGAAACATCAGGTCTATAGACACATACTGGTCACATAATTTTTCTTATATTGAATATCACGTGATATTTAACATATGTTTGACAAGTTTTTTCACAACTAACAATATATATATATATACTATATATATTACATAAGTGCAATATACTGCTTCTTTATTTTTTTATTGCATAATACATACTAATAATGGTACTGTACATGTAATTTAACTTTATATAGAATATAAATATTATGAACAAATCTAATTAGGTATGTACATACATATACAGTACTCCAATTTTAATTTTTTGTAAAAGCTTTGTATATACATACTAATCTTTTCTAATTATCCATCAATGTAATGATACAATTGTATTTTCTTTTGCAAATATTCATATTCTTTTTTATATTATTCTGTAAAATGAGTAATTCTTGTTAAGAACAAGAGCTTCCACCTCTTACTTTGTTCAGTATATATATCTTCCCAACCCTTTACAATAGAAGGAACAGGCATGTTGGGTTTGAGTTTTATGGTAATAAAATGCTGTCTTTCAAAAATATAGGCAAAAGTAATAGATGAATTTCGGTTTAATGGTATGTTGTCAGAGAGAAAAGTAAGAGAAATAAGCTTGTTAAAGTAATGAACAGGTTGCTGAAATATATTGGCAATAATGTATCCAAAAGATGGTATAAATATCTAATGATCACTATTGCATAGGCTAGTTTTTCACTGTGTTGCTTGTAATATTTTATTGTACTCTTTTTCTTTTTCTAAAAAAAGTTGGATATAATGAGACTTTTGGCTACAAAGTTCTTTATAAATATGGCCAAAAGTCTTTAGGTTTTTCAATTAATATAGCAATAGCACAAAAGCCACAATTACCATCACCAGCTATATCAACATATAAAGAAATATATTGATGCATAAATTTGAAAATATTGGTTTTGTATAGCTTAGAACTTGAACAAGATTGTTTCAATAGTATAAATTGTTGCTGAATAGGCTTGTTTTTAAGTTTGGTGATATTGTTCAGTACTTTTTTTTTTGTGACAGCATCTTGATATTCAGTTAGAAGCAATCCTTGCTTAGTACTTGAAAGACAATCTTTTTTAATACTACTTTCTGTGGTAATTTAATAGGATCAGGTAATAGCATATCTGTTATTTGTTGAAGCTTAGTAATAAATTTTATTTTAGCAGCACTGTCTGGTAATTGTTCAAATTTCTCTTCTGCTTTAACAAAAGTATTATAAAACTCTGGATCAATAATAGAAGACTTTGAAGGATGTAGAAGCTCTGTAATATCAGATTTTTCAAGAAACTATCTTTTATCAATCATTAACAAAGGTATTAGGCCATTTTTTAGAATCATATGTGGACAAGGAAGCTTAAAATTAATTTTACTTGAATATTCGCAAGTTCTATTATTTTCATATATATCCAGATTTGTCATTTTTTCTAATGTTCTTTTGATATTATTAATTGTCTATACTGATATATTTCTAATAAGTTCACTAAATCTAGAATCACAACAAATAAAAGAGTTAACTGCCACTTTATTAGAGCCTGTACGTATAGATGCTTTTAGGTGTTGTAAGCATATTGCTTGATCAATTTGGCAAAAAACACTATCCAAATCATTTGCTATTTTAATAGCTCTTTTGAATGCTCTATAAGATGATTCACATCGTCTAGTAGTTGATATTCCTATATTACAATACCATTTAGTATAAGCTGAAATTCACATTGTTAAATCCTTTATTAATGTCTGAATATGTGACTCTACTTTTTCAGGTGTATGATCTTTCTTCACAGCTATTTTAACTGCATTTAAAGATTGTGAAATTTGCTCTTTGACTATTGTAAAATATAGGCTTACGACTTTTTTTTTGAATACTTCATAATCATCATCAGTTTTAAAAAGTTTATAGCAATTTGTTTTTAAATTTTGTTCTAGAATATGCAACACACATAGCATTTTATTGGATTCTGAAAATACTTTGGATGAAGTATTCTTTAAGGCCTGATCTCTGTCTGACATAAAGACATCTAGT